TGGCTTACAAACTTAAGTTTCCTTTTGGAACCACAACACATGACGTGTTCCATGTTGACAGACCTTGAGGACAAGATCTGCTTTCATGGGGGGAAAACTGTTATATGTCATTCTGTTTTTATCTTTTAATAGTTAGTTCCAAAATAAAAGTGGAAATTAGATCAGATTTATTTTCTGTTTTATATTTTAATAGTTAGTTCCAAAATAAAAGATAAGATTCCTAGGGACCAGAGGCTATAAATAAGCCATTCTTTGTAAAGTCAAGGATCATTCCGAAATTAAAAAAGAAGTTTGTTTCTCATTCATCTTTGTGCATAAGAGAGAAGAGAGAGGTAGAGAAAGGTAAGAATCTTTCTTTACAGAAATTCTCATCAAAAATACATTCTTTAATTGAACATTCTGATCCACTTCTATCAGTATCATGGGGACTGGGGAGACGTGGGAAATTTTTTAACAAGGACAGCATAGAGTAAAACCGTTTAGTTGATGAGGAACAATAGTGTCTGACTGTTATGCACTGTTGGTATACCTTATCTAGATTTGCAATGCCCAATGGGAAGGTATAGATTGAATCTTCTCAGGAGTTCTCTGGTGAGTTGAGGACCGAATGATTCCAAGAAGGGTAAAACTTCATATTTAGAGATGTACAAACAATGAGTTCATTTGGTTAAAACTTGGAGGTTGACCTGTACTCAGAGCGAGTGAATTGCAGAAGGAGGCTCAGAAAATATAGTTTGTGTGGCATGCAGTCAATGATTTACCTCATTTCCACAGGTTTTTAGACTCTCGGTTTCAGGACATTTTTTTAATGTCTCTTATATGAAGGATTAGTAAACGTGTCAAATTGATTGGAAGGAGCATACACGGTTGGTTGGGATTACAGTTATTGATGGAAATACCTCATTTCTGGTTATTTTACTGGCCTTTTGAATGAAACAGATTTTGGGTCAGCTTACTGCAGACCACTTGTTCTTTTCAATTCTATTCTCGTCATGTTGTATGTTATTTTTTACTTGATTTTCTCCCCCCAAGTTTGTTGGAATAATTTTTTTTTTTTTCTTTCAACATTCTTGCTTTATAGGTTTATTTGTTGTCTGTACTAGTTTATAATCCTTATAAATTTTAGCACCAACGTATGGCATGACAAATTAGGTGGTAGACCTCCAGAAAAATATTTACCGGAAGGGAGTGCTTCTATTGATCAACTGTAATGTGTTCACAATTATTTTTTAACTAATATTCTTCTATATTTTATCAAATCAAATGTGTCTAATAATGATACTTTATGTCCATCTGATAACTAATAATGCATAAACAGTTAAACCCCTTTGAATTATTGACAAACTTATACGTAATTCGATGTTGGAAATTTGTTATTGTCTAATGTATTTGCAGTTTGGTGCTATAAGCACTGTATCTATCTAATTCTTAGTTTTCAAAAGTTGACTCTATTTGGAAGTATATAAGCTTCGGGTTTAACCAATTAGATGGGTTTATTGTGATTTATATAGTTATATTTGATGTACCTTCATATCATTATAGTAGCCAAGGTTTTCCTTCATTTGCTTTAAAAGCTTGTAACAATTTTCATCAGTTGTGATACCATATGGATTACTTGTTTGTAGCAGAAAGAGGACCATAATCATCAATCTTTTCGCATATAACCCTCTCTATATGTTCATTATTTAAAAAAAAAAAAATTCAGTAGTAGTACTCTGATATCAAGTGAAATAGTTTCAATATCTTATTTGCTCATATCTGTGCATTTCCTATGTTTTAGATCCTTATTTCCGGTATAGCTTCTGGGAGGCATTTAAAATAGATTAGTTGACTTTTTTTCTGTCATTATTTTTGTAAGATTGCACTAACCGTGGCAAATATGGCAGGTGGCACTGACAGAGAAGTGGGCCAAAACATATAAGAACAAAGGCATAGGATTTTACTCAATGCACCCAGGCTGGGCTGAGACCCCTGGGGTTGCAAAGAGTTTGCCAAACTTCTCTAAATCGTAAGCATTTTTGCTTCTTACATTTTCCATAGAATATATTGATTATTACTGTAAAACATTGGAGATAGAAACGATTCACATACAGAGTTGATATTTGACACAGTACACAGCATTCTATATACCTGCCTATTTGAATTAACAATTTTTTATTTACAACTTCCTCTGAGAACATTGAAATGCTTTTTCCCAAAATTAAGTAAAGTCAAACATGCATAAAGCATGAATTTGATTCGAGTTTGGACAAACTTCTTCATGAGATTTTCCGAAAGAGAAATATGAAGTAATTGAGGAAATTGATTTTTTTCATACGTTAAAAATAAAAATTTGGACAAGCTATATGAAATAGCTTATCCAATTTAGCTTGTGGGAAGGTTAATTTTAACTTATGAAGTAGTTTGTTTCATTTTCTTTTTCTTTGTCCAAACATGTCCTAAATTAAATTATGACACATTTTAAGTCCAAATAGTATGCACCTACTTGCTTAAAATGTAAGTACAATTTATCCTTGACATAACTTAGGGTCAACAAAGAAAAGATAGTAAACTATTTTGGCACCATTGGAATAACTATTGATTCAAATATTTACAGGTTTTCAGGGAAGCTTAGAACAAGTGAAGAAGGTGCAGACACAGTTATATGGTTGACATTACAACCAAAGGAGAAACTGGTATCAGGTGCTTTTTATTTTGATAGAGCTGAAGCTCCAAAGCACCTTGCATTTGCTGCTACCAGTAATTCTCATGCTATGATCGACTCTGTAGTTGATAGTCTTGATTCCATGGCTTCTGCTTTTGGCTAATTCTATACTTTTCCCCCTGACATTAGACAACTAGTTTGGTATTAATCATAGCACCTAGTTAGTTGCACACGCACTATATCATTTCTGTAGTTAATGGAAAAATATAAATTGTTTTCAGCAATCATATGCTCTTCCTACCAAACCAAACATTTATGTACAAACTATTTGATTATGAATTTCATTTTTTCTTACACTTAATTTATTTTACCTTAATGAAAAATGAATAATTATTTTTGATGATGTCCTAATAGATATCTAAGTTGTTGACTGTTAGTAGTTATTGTTAAAGTAAAATAATTTAATCTATGTATAAAATAAAAAAGTTAAAACAACTCATTATTTATGTTAAAATTGAATCAATTAAATGTGTAATAATTGATTTTATTAACACTTAATGGATTATATGATTTTCATGTTTTGATGTTATGTACTAATAATTGATTATATTATCAATTAATCGATTATGTGACTACATCTCATGTTTTGATACCATACGCTAATAATTGATTACGTTGTTGCATCATTGATTATATTGTTTACTTTCTTTCTATTAATGAAGGTAAATAATCAATTAAATTTTTGTTAATTAATTATCTAAATCAGTTGTAACAGATTTCAACTCTTTAGAAAGAAGATAAATCAAACATAATTTATGAAAGTATTCTAAAAGAAAATTTTAGTGTCATTAAGACAACATTTTGAATATGTAACGATGAGAAATTCAAAGAGAAATTCAAATTCAAAGGTGAAATTATTTGTCTATATGATTCTTTATTTAATTTAGGTGAATTCGTTCTTTATCTTTTCATTTTGTGAATCAATTGGTTGTATGTTGATGTTGTGAGATAAATATAAAGAAAACTTAAAAATTATTGTGTGATTTTTTTCTTAGATTTTGATTAAAGTGTTTTGTTATTCAAGATATGTAGGTTGTGGTGTAATATATGGATATTAAAAAGTTTTAGTAGAAATTCAAGTTAAAATTGTGTGAATATGTAGATTCAAAGAAATTATATAAAATTTTTGTATTCTCATCCTTCTTCTTTTTTTATCTTAATGTTGTTGCAACTTTAACAAATTCAAATACTCTTTCAATTGAAAAAAAAAATCAATTAACTTCTAACTAGATTTCAAAAAGATTTTACAAACCCAATTCACCCCTCTTAGGTGTGTTTAATCATTATGATTTATTTTTTTAAGAAAATAAATAATGAAGATGGGAAGTAAAAAAACAATATATTAAAAGTATTAAATTAAAAAACTATATATTACATGAATATAATCAATCTTATTATATTTTAATTATTAAATTTTATAAAAAATAATACTTAATTTATAATTTAATTTAATTTTTAAATAAAAAATTTATGATTGAAATTATTATAAAAATTTGAAAACTTTACAATCAATTTAAATCATGAGTTGCAACATAGTAATTTTTAAAAATAATTTAATAAAATAATTGTTTTTTTAATGAAATTTGAAAACAGGAAATAATTTATAAAACAATGAACCAAACCATTATGTTTTTGTTCCTTATGTTTTAATTCTTTCCAAATATCTAGATTATTTTCAAATTAATTTATATATATATATATATATATATATATATATATATATATATATTTCAGATTTCTATATAACCTATTATCACATCTTAATGGGAATATTTTAAATTAAATTATTATTTATTAATAATATCAATATTTCTTAAAGCATCTAAGATATTTAAACACAAGAAATTCATAGGGACTGATAAATTATATACGTAAACCTTTCAAATAATATGAGATTCTATTATTTTTAATAGTAAATAAATGGTTCAACCATAAAATTGAGATAATTTTTATTAAAAAATATAACAAACTAGTTAGAGCATTGTGCTAATAGTGTGAATATTTGATTAGAAAATATTTATTGGAAATCTGTCATTGTCTATTTATATATGAAAGAAAATGATTCGATATCGCAGTTAGAAAACGCTGTAAATAATTTTACACATTTTTCGTTTATAATAATTAAACGCATGTATAGCTGTCACAAAGTTAAAGTTTTGTTTTTCTCAGCATTCGTAATCAAACAAACCGTCAGAAAATAAATAAATAAATATAATCGTAACTGGTTCTTCAAGTTCCACACAGAAACCCCCCGTCACTCGTATAACTCGTGCGAGTTGGTGACTCGGCAGCATCCATGAACGAGTCGGGTTCCGTCTCTTCTCCGCCGCGCCCGGTGACTGTCGACTGTGCAGATGACGACGCTGCGCTGGCGAAGTCGGGATTTTTGACGCGGAAGGAGGTTCTCCGGCGGCGGCTCCGGCGAGTGAAGCAGCTGAGGCGGTGCTATCGGACTCACTATTGGGCCCTAATGGAGGAGCTCAGGTCGAAGTACAGAGACTACAGCTGGACCTACGGAAAGAGCCCCTTCAAGGAGGATCACAACGAGAGCGACAACGACAACACAAACGGCGTCGTCACTGGTGGCGGCGGTGGTGGTGGTGACATCGTGCGGTGTCGTTTCAGCGGCTGCAAGACCAAGGCCATGGCTATGACGAAATTCTGTCACGCTCATATACTGTCCGATTCCAAACAGAAGCTTTATCAAGGATGCAGAGCCGTTGCGAAGAAGTGAGTTTTTTTTTTATTATTATTATTTTTTTTAACTCTGATTTTAAATTATTTCAAATTGAAAATATATGTTTGGATGTTGAGATGAATTGGAGAATAGTATGAAGTGAATTAAAAACTGAAAATACGCATACACTTTGATGTCTTTTTTTATCTGGAATGTTAGTTTCGTCTTGCATTTTTGTTTCGGTATGCTAATTCGTCTAATAGAATCATGTTTGAGACTAATTTAGCCATTGAGTATGTATAGATTAGTTTGATTGTTTACTTGAGTAGTGTGTTTCTAGGGTCTGTTCGGTTAGTGGAAGAGAAAAGAGGTTGGTTTTCTGTATTCGTTTTATTGTGTAGTTTTTTAATGGATTTTGTTGCTCAGTGGTTGTTTGGCTTTGGAAAATTGACCATTTTGTTGTGCTTCAGTTTACTGTTGCCTATGTTAAAAGCTTGGCTATTTTCAATTTAGTGCAGTGTCATAGAACTATAGATTAATGTTACTGGTACTAACCCACTAGGTTGGCTTACTGTTGTGTGGTTTGCTGGTTACACAACCGTCGAAGCACCCAAATTGATTTGTCTTCCAGCACCCAACTGAGTATGTGTTTGATTTGACTTCAGTCATGTTGAACGTCAATCCAATGTGAGAGAGGGATTAGGAGCATTGGGAAGTGGGAATTACTGAAACAAATACACACTGAGAAATATATGTCTAGTTGGATTGGATTGGCTCAAACTGAAGTTTGAGCATTATGAACGGGAAAACAAACAAACAAATGTGTTGAACATCAATCCTTCATGAGAGAAGCTTTCACTTGAACGGAGATTTGGAATGTACGTTCTTCCTAAAATAGACACACTTTGTAGTGGGGCTTTGGGTAGGATAGTTGCACAGCATTCTAGATTCAAACTTCTTTTGGTGCCATTGTACTGTATAGAAAATAGTCAGTGTTTGGTTTTGGATATATATATTTTCTAATTGATTTTTTTTCACAGAAATAACAACCATATAATTTGTGTTTTAACCTCTATGCACTTTATAGGCTCACTCTTAGTCTTGATCTATGTCATTAAATTATTTATGGTTACTTCAAACCTTTCATTAAGTTTATTAACCAGAAGAACGACAACAGTGAATCCACGTAAAATGAAATAAAAAATGTTGTGGATTCGGAAAATCGAAAACTATAATCCGACATATATTACTTAGTAGTTGAACCTGTTTGAAATTCTGTCATGCTTGGGTAAGTTTGTTGCTCAAAATCTTCTTTAAGAGAAAAGGTGTCCAACCTTGTCACTAATGGTTTCAAATGAATCCATTTCTAAGTTCAAAGGTTGAGACCCTGCACATCTTTGGCTGAAAGAGTAGTTTGATTCAAATTCTTGAGAGTTTTCAGTATATTGCACTTACCAGTCAACATCTTCTTTAGGGATTGCTATGTTACATTACTTACAGGAACGTCATCTGCAGGACTTCCCACATATATGTAGACCTTCGTAATTTCTGGCTATTTGTATGCATAGCAGCGTGCTAAATAGTGATCATTTCAGTACTCACTGAATTTATAAATCATGTTGCACTATTCCATTTTAGGTTCTATATTGAAGATCTTTGTTGTAAAACTTTAGATTTTATAGCCTATTTTGCTAGATTAATGCATGCTCTGTACTGAATACTAGTCTTCATACCTACAATTGGTAAATCAATCATTCTGTCTCTTCCCATGTGCTGTAAACCTTCACATTTGAATAATCTAGGATAAGGATCTTCAAAATTCATAGCTCTCATCAGTAAGAACGAGTAGAAATACATACCAACCATTATCCATTGTGGTAGATTGATTGCTTAAAACTTGTAGAAAATTCTCTTAAGAATATAAACTTATGTTTGTCTTTCCTTTTTTTACACTCTGTACTTGATGGAAATCAGGAGACTTACCAGGCAGAAGCAGATGTGACTTGTTCATTTTCTTTAGAGATATATCACTTCCTTTAGTGAATAATTAAAAGTTATTGGGGCCATTTTGCTTCATTTAATTGTTAAATCATATTTATTTGCCACACACAGGAGATTTCTTAAATTTATTTTTCATTTGCAGTAGTTTCCAATATCTGGGCAGACAACCTCACTGACGAAGTTCTTGGCTTTTTTTCAGTTTGCCAACAGGGCCTTCATTTTGTAATAAACCAGTATTGAAATCCGTGGTTCCTGCTGCCTGCCCTACTCATCATCAATTTGGGGAAAGGTGTTTAGCTCGGGCATTAAGAAGGGCTGGATTAGGGAATGCTATCCCTAATAATCGGAAGCCTACAGCGAAATTACATGTACTAGTTTCTGAATTTGTCCACCAAATTCAAAAGAAACGAAAGCTTGCATTGAAAGAAACTGCTCTCAAAGTTGAAACTGAATAAGAAACGAGACTAATCTGCAGATTATATAATATAATATCGAATTCCTAAAGATATTGTTGTGTATAAAATGGATATTCTCAATATCTGAAAAATAGTACTATGATTAAATGCTGAATCATTTGGTTCCAAAAAATATCCAGTACCTACCCATGTATGTTTGTAATTTCGAGTCATCGTTTATCTCTTCTTTCAATTTAAGGAGCAGTATCACAATATATTAAATTGTTTGTTCTTCTCATAAAATAGATAATTGTTGTATTTTCTTCAAGTTAGAAATTCTATATGCTTCTGAAGCCTTTTGGGAATCTCAATCCAAATTTTTTTATTTTGGAGATCATATCACGCCTAACTCACTTAATCCTGCGTAGAATTGTTGATTTCTATGAAGGTAATTAACAAGAAACTCATGTGAATTACACCCAATAAGATTACTGTTTTTTAAAGAACAAGTGGTTGTGATCCTTACTAATCATTCTGAGAGTGGATACTTACTATTTAATCTGACAGTGGATACTTAATGCTATCGTTCTCTTTTTCAAATAAGGTTTTATGGTCGGTTGGTGATAGGAAGGCGTCCTTGAAGTGATCTCGTACTTCCTAGAAGCAGGTGTATGGATCCTCTTTCTTTTTGCCATATTTTACTCAATTATTTATTGTAGTTGGCGAACTCAAGGTGTTGTAAATCCTACGATAGAATCTCGTACTTCTATCATGGATTCAAGTCACATTCTTTACATTTTTTTCCCCTTTATTTCACTTTCTTGTACCCTCTTAAACGTTACTAAATCTTCAAGATAAGAAAACATGATAAATATTTTTACTAATGGTTGGATTTTTGGGTTTTGACAAAATATTTTGGGAAAGATAAAAGATAGATGATGTTAAAGAGTTTCTTATAAAATTTTATTCATATACTGTAAAAATATACCAAAATATCACATAAAAAACATCTCAATCCTAACATTTTAAATTAAAATAATAATTTAATATATTTTTTTCTTTTTCTAAATAATATTTTAATATTTATAATATAATATAATAAAAATATCTAATATCTAATTTGAATAAAAAATAAATAAATAATAATTTTCAATATTTCGCATTGTTTTAATATCTGTTTAATTTTTAAATTTCAAAATTTAAATTTTAAATTTGATTCTCCTCTTTTATTTGTATATATATATATATATATATATATATATATATATATATATATATATATATATATATATATATATATATATATATATTTAATTCCTATCATTCTCTTTCTTCTAATTTTCATTCAATTTCTCATTCGTGTATTTTTTTTTCATTTATCAACCTCACATTTTTTGTTTTGTGTGGACTCCATGGTAATAACATTGATTCTTTGATGAAATTTGAAAAGTGATAAATCTTCAATTTGCTCCTTTATATTAAGTTTCTTCTTTTATATATTTTCAACATAATCAACTCCTCTTTTATTAAATTTAAAGTAAAACTTTTCCTTTAAGATAAAATTGAAATACTTCTAAGTTGTTTACCTATTAAGTGTTTTTTTTTCTTCTTTCAAATGTTTTCAATCTTGTTTTTCCAAAATAAATATGTTAAAAAAAATCCCACACGATGTCTATTTCTCAATCCTGACCGTTGTTCGTGCTTTGCTTTGTATTGATAGGGTTTAGGGTTTAGGTTGGACATCTATTGTCTCCCAAGGATAAATAAGATATTAAGATTTTATCAAGCCTTTCTCGTTCGATTCACTACCGAGATCTCCTTTCCATCCTTTTTGTCGATGACCCAAGATCTCGATTCTTGGGTAAGGCTTGAAGTAACAATGATTATTTTTAGTAATGTTTTACTTTTTCCTTTTTCTTCTTAATCTTGCTTTTTATCTTGTAGAGATCATGGGATCAAAATTTGACTATAGAAAGACTCGAGAAGCTCATAGGAGCTCCCATTGGCAAGGTAACCAAGGACAGTAAAAGCAAGCTCCAAAGTTAAAATGACTAAGAGTGGGAAGCCTTGGAGAACATTATGCTCTTGAAGTAATTAGCGAGACTCCATCCTCGCTCATTGCACATTCTTCACACTCTCCATGGCCTCCATCTCCTCGAGCTTCATCCCCTCGTCCCTGCCTTTGTCATGAAACTCCACATCATCCTAACAGAGAGACCCATAATCCGTCTTGGTCAACAACCCAAATGTCGAGTCTCTGTGACATCTGAACATGATTACGAACAAAATGATGATGTGCATCTCCCTTCCTCTTCCCCACGACATCGGGATGATCAAGTTTGTGGGTCCTAGAAACGGTTAACTTTGTCGAGGTTATGCTCGGGCGGTGTTTGTTGATTGTGCATATGTGGAAGAACATTGTGGCTGACTTGTGCTAAGGTAAAAGTCAGAGGATGAGAGAGTTGATGGCACTTTGAAAACAAAATGAAAAGCTCCTCACCGTCATTGCCAACCATGAACCTGCCTTTCGCCAAAGTAAAGGAGAACTAAGCCCTTGCTGAGAAGGTTGAGAAGTTAGAGAGCTTGGTTGTGGCTGTTAAACTAGAAGCTGACCAAACGATTGCAACAATCGAGGTTGAGATTAAGGTGACAAATGAGAAGGCCAAATTGGCAAAGGAAAATACGACAAACAAAAAATCGAGCTTTGAGTAGTCTCGAGGAGCAACTCGATAAAGCTTTAGAGGATGGATTTATGAAGGTCATGGTGCAAGCCTCTGTTAGTAGCCCGGGAATTGATATAGGGCTTTTTTATATGGAGAAATCAGTTGTAGATGGTCAGCTAGTGTTGGACTCTTTGTAGATTGCTTATATGAATAATTTATATTTTTCACTCTTTAAATCGTTTAATGAATGATATTTTTTATTTTATTCTTTATTTTAAACATGTGATTGAACATATTTGATACTTTTAAGCTTCAGAGGCTTGTGAACGTGTTGTGATAACATCTTTTGCTCTAGTCTTCACTAGATATGTAAGATGGTATTAATATATAATTTTAATTAATAACACGAAATTATAAGCGCTTATGTAGGGTGTGAAGATCACCAATGACTCACCTTAGTTGTAATATGTTTTGAGATGGATTGCATTCCATGTCCGATGTATCATTTTCCCAGACAACTCTTGTACTTTGTATGTTCCATTGTAGAATATGTTCACCACTCAGTATGAGTCGTCCCAATTTGAGGTTTGCTTACCATCTATTTAGTTTTTGTGAGCCTTTCCTACCTTTCTCCATACAAGGCTAGCCTATACAATTTTCACAAGAATTTTACAAAGCCAATTGTAGGTCATCCAACTGATCAAGAATTTGCTCCAGTTGGTTATCTATGTGTTGAAAATGAGCAATGCACATGTCATGGTGCATACATTGTCCAACTTGCATGGTGTCCAACCTTAACAACATCATTTACTCGAACTAGGAAAGAGGTGTTCCACAGTCAATAGGTGGGACATATGCAATCATATCCATAATCATGGGAATTTCATTGTTGGTGTTGCTAGGACCAACTTCATCAGTGTGCTCCTAAGCAACACACTCATTTGCATCATCCTTTGAAATCTAATTGTCATCAACTTTGATGAAACCCATTTTGTGCATGGTAATATTTGTAATTTCATTTGTGTTATGAATGGCTTCAAATAGTTCTTCATCAAGATCCACCCTAAAATGAAGTAATTTTTTTTACAATAATACAACATATGGTAAGCGTTAATCAGGGAGCTTTTTGGATTTGAGCATGTGATCCTTGATCAAATAAATTCAATTTACCTTTAATCAAATTTAAATGATGTACTTTAAGATTATATCACCTTCATTCAAGAAAGCATGGTTGCTCCCCATGAGAGTGAGCTGCTAGGTAATTTTGAAGGCCAACAAGCATTCTTCAAGCTTGAGTCAACTAGCATGAAGACTCCTAATGGAAACAACATGTTTTCAAAGATAGCTCCTATAGTATTGCACTTTGTTAAAATATTCAACAATACTAGCATACCCTTTTAAAACCTTGATCCATTCGTACTTGAGGACAATTAACTCCTTCCAAAACATTCAGAATGATCTTTATATTGACCCTTTACACTTTTGATCTAAGAATCGAACATGCAAAGTTTAGGTTTATGTAGAAGACCTATTAAGAAAAATGGCCAAGATAAAAAGAGGGGTAAATTGATCTATTAAATTAAAAAAAAAAACTTTTCCAAATTACACCAATTCTCAAGGAACATAACCAACTCTTTTCAAGAATTAATTGATAAAGTAAGAAATATAAAGTAAATCCAAGAAGTAAGAGAAAGAGAGAAAGAAGACACAAGATTTTATATTGGTTCACCAAATCCACCTAGACTACGTCCAGTTCTTAACACAACTAGCTAAATTCCACTATATCAATAGTCAATTACAATTATACACCAATAGATACACTCAATCTACCCAAAGAGTTTCTTGAACACCCAAAAACTACTCTTGAAACCTCCAACAATCCACACCATATCACCACCAACCAGTACCCACCACTAGGTACCACAAATACACCAGGAAAAAAAAAAAGAATACGAGAAAACAAATCACCTGGAAAGATTATATAGCAAACCATTTTGAGTGCAAAATTACAATATCTAATTAATCTTTCTAAGAAAGTAAAAGAAATACCTCAAAAATGTTTTGAATTATACCACGAGTGAAAAATGCATGGTGAACTCTAAAACATCTCTCAAAAGATGCTAAAAACTTTTCACAAAATCGTATGTTGAAAGGAGAAATCAAAATTGTTTATATAAAAAAAATTGATAGTTTTAATCGATTAAATTGACCATTTAATATATTATTTTCACTAAAATACTCAATTAATCGGTTAATTTATGGTTTTAATCTATTAAAATAATGAGATAAAAATTTTTGAAAACATCAATAAGTTGTTTTAACTAATAAAAACAATTTTAATAAATTAAATTAGAGCAAGCAAAAATTTCTCTAAGTATAAAAAATCATTTTAACGAATGAAAAACAAGATTAATCAATTAAAGCAGTGAGACATTTTCCCTTAATGTTCCAAAGATCATTTTAACTAATAAAACCATCAAATAATCGATTAAAACAACAAAAACATATTTTTTCACTAAGTTATAAGAACGTTTTAATTGATAGTAAGTTAGATTAATCGATTAAAGTCGCGAACCACATTATCTAAAAATATCATCAGGAACATTTTAACTGATAAAACCAGTGATTTAATCTATTAAAACCTAAAAACATAATGATTTTCAAGTGTTTAAGTAAAATTAATCGATTATTTATCAATTATAAACCGATTCTAAGAACATTTTAACAAATTAAACATTGTTTTAACAAATTAAAATAATTCTAAAACAGGTTTTAGTAAGATTGAATTCTTCTTACTAACTTAGATCATGATTAGCTTATAGAATGGATTAAGACACATACCTTCACACTCTAGACACACACACAGAACTAATCAAAACACCTAGACTCCACCAAATCGTGCAACTCAACTCAGATATTGACTTCATCAAATCTAACATGTTTGCAAGACCTTGACTAGGTAAAGATAAATTTTGTCAATCATCTCTAGAAAATATGGTAACTTTTGGTTTTGCAACAACTTTCTTAGCCCATAGAATTTTTCCTTATCAAGCCATGAAAATTTTTTAGAACCATTGGTACATTTACTTGTGTTGTGACTCATCTCCTAAAGGAAGAGAGTTATCCTATCCTCATTATCGACAATCCAAGTTTCTATGTGGCCAGCCCTAGGTTGTTGTTAAGTCACAGACTATGAAGGCTCCCCATGGAAGGAGGTTATCCTTCCAGTAGTGTAGACTTTATTGGAAGTAAAAATAAAAATTAACCACGGTTGACCTAGTCAAAGATGCAGCTATATGAGATCCAACCATGACAAGACACTGATCAATGTGCATCTTGTCATCTGGTTGTGATCAAACATTCATAAACAAGTATTAATATAGTTATAAAGTTGGCCTAAATCGTGTCCTCAAGGAGAATTTTTCAATGTTGTTTAAACGTTGATTTCCAAGTGTTAAAAGCTAGGAGAAAGGGGGATTTAAAGTGTTTTGGTGTGGAAACAATAAAATAAAGCAAGTAAACTATGATTTATGAAAAACAGTAAAATAATCTACGAAAGCAATAAAGAAATGCATGTAAATAACTTAAAATGTAAATCAAATATAATTAATCTATACTACAAAAGCTTGTAAATTATGCAAAAAAAATAAATAATGAAATCAATTGTAAATGAAGTGCAGTAGATGAAAGCATTACATTTAAGTCTTAAGAAAGCATTTAAAGGTTGAAAAATAATAAAGAAACATGTAGCACAAAATTGAAAAGTGAAAACAAAATTAAAACCAAAACTATGTAGTAAAACAAAGTTAAAAAGCTATAAGAACCATAGGTTGATTCTCTCCAATCATCAACTTCTTCATATGATTATCATTGATTTATGGACTTGCTTGCAATTATAAAACAAATTCATAACAGTTATAAACAATTTCAATCTACTTAAATTGAAAGCACAACTCAATCCCTAAATCAAAAGTAATAATGTTGACTCTCTTGTTTTCAATTTGAAGAAGAAGAAATAATGATCTTGGCTATATAATCATATTGCACTCTTTTGTTTTTAATTCCATATTATTCAGACTAAGATTTTTCAACAAGCTCATTGTTCACAACATGTTTTAAAAATGGACCAATTGCAATAGCATCCTAAATCTTTATATCAATAGATTCAATAAAAATATTCATTCTTATTTTTTAAAATTAATAGTTTACTCCACCAAACATGGGAGATTTGTTTATAAACCCACTTTCAACAAATGAAAGTTTTTTAGCCATTTTCAAAAAATATAGGATCAAATCTTAAGTATGTTACTTGATACCAATTGTTAAAATAAAAGGTTTAGTTCAATAAGGGATGAATTGAACTTTTAATGATTTTTTAAAAGACTTTATTAAGAATGAAATTTTTATCTAAACAATCGACTAAAGATATTGATAAGATTCCAAATGGAATTGACGCAAAAAGATTTAAGGTTTGAAATCAATTAAAAATAGAAAATAAGGAATTAATAACAAAATAGAGAAAACCTGAATAAAGGAAGACGCCACAAACAAAGTTTGATAAGTCTAAGGGTGATCACATACAAGAATTGGTGAATTCTTGATAAGATCAAAGATGTAAGGAAGAATCCTAGTAGAGAAATATTTTCACTTTGGTAAAACTCATTTGTTGCCTCTTTTCTTAATTCAACAATCATAAATACAAAATTTAAGATTTAAGATTTTTTTAGGTTTGACTTAGTTTATAATAAAAAAAAACCCAAAAAAATTAAAAATAATCAAATATTAAATTAATGGTCTTGGGTTCAAATCTCAACTCCATCAAAATAAAATAAATTATTTTTATTTTAACTCTCCAAGCTCACTACACATGTAACCAGACTTAGCCTTTCATTGATTTGGGTCTTTGATCTGTTGGACCTCCTATGAAAGAGTCATCTTTTGTTGTAAAGCTTATTGGGTCTTTCTAATCCTTCCTCTAGTCATTGGTCCAATTAAGTCTTTAATTAAATCTTTATCTTTCTTCTTCTCATGGCATTGGGCTTTTATGTCCATATTATATATGGTAGCCAATGACACATTGTTAACAAGAAAGCTTAAAAAAACAAATAAAGATTGTAGAAACAAGATTAAGGATTCAAAGAGAAAAAAAGAACATAAGATATATACTAGTTTACTCTTGAACAAGCAATTCTTAGCTAAACCAGCTAAGATTCTAGTAAACAATCAAAGTTTATGCAAACTAGTAGAAAGACCTTTCGACCCCAGAAGTCTACTCTTGAACCCTACAAGAAATCAACTTCAAAAACCTATGATATTCTATCACAATGCATGTTCTGGAAACCCTACCAAGAAGGAACAATACCACACGAGATCAAAAAATTAAGATGGAACACTTTCACTTGGGAAATCAATGAATATAACGAGAAAACAAAAAAAAAGAAAAAAAAACAAGATGAAGTACAAAATTTCTCCTTCACACTATCGAATGATCTTGAATTTCGACCAAGAAAGCTTCAAAGAACATTTCTTTAATACAAAAGCAATACTCTCTCAAATGCAAGAAATGATGTGTGAAAAACTTATTCAAATCATACATTGAAAGATTGAGAAATAAAGCAGTTATATATTATTTAAGTGACAATTTTAATCGATTAAAATTGTATTTTAATATGTTAATTTCACTTGACTTTGAAATTAATAAATTAATTTACCATTTAATAAATTAAAACAAAATAACCTAAATGTTCTTTGAAAAAATAAAAAAGTTTTAATTAATTAAAAATAATTTAATAAATTAAAATAAAGTATTTAAAAACCTTTGAAAAACATAGAAAATATATAACCGATTGAAAAAAAATTATTTAACAGATTAAAACAACAAAGTCTACAAATCACTCTCAAAGCTAACAAAATATTTTAATATTTAATAAATTAAAACAAAATAGTAAAAATTCTTAAAAAAATAAGAACATATAATCAATTAAAAATATGATTTAACATATTAAAACATATTTCTAAACACAATTAAAAGGCTTTTAAGTAATTTTAATCGATTAAAATAATTATTTAATCTATTAAAATGTATCCTAAAAATTTAACATGTTGAAATTATCTTTTAAAATGTTAAAAACTTCATTTTACAAAGAAAACTTCAAAATCATAAGCTTTCTAAGAATAAATCAACATCAAACACTTTTCCTCACCTAAAACAACATCACACGGTATATATCACATGGCACAACATAAGAACAAATTGTGCATCGGTATTAGCATAGTTGTCAACGGCCATGCTTCATTAAAGTACAACAACAGCAACATGCCATGGTGTGTATTGACGGTAGCTCTTAACAAACCAACAATCATTGAGTTGTTATTCAATAATTTTATTTATAATTTCTAACACTTTCCAATCATATAATTTTCATTATTTTTAGTGATTCATCCTTTTGTATTTAGTTCTAATATTATAACTATAATTAGGATAAACAAACACAAGATCCAATTCAAAACATGATAAAAAGATTATGATATTGGCCAAAAATTATAAACCGTAATCACTCTTCTGAGTACCTGTTGCTGTTAAGTCTTATGTAGCAAAAATAGGCTGTTCTAAATGTTTATATATTACCATAAATTTCATTCACTGGATAATACATCATCTCTAGCAAATGACAACACAACTAGGAATTTTCACTTTCATTCTCGACTTATCCTGAGAAGAGGGATTACTAACACTGTGTTTTAAAATTACAAAAACCAATCACACATTTTCTACTTATCATTATTTACAGATTTTATGCATCATACCATGTCTTTCTATATTATTAAATACATACCAAGGAGAACTATAATACATCAGAAACAATCATGTCAATGGCCATTGGCCATTCCATCTTCGGAAATGATACTTGGTAAGTCCAATAAAGTAGGCTTTTTCAGCCAGTATTGCTGAAACCTCTGCCTTGCATACTCCTTGTAATCAAAGTCAATTGTGTTGACATAACTCTGCAGCATACATAGCAAAACACTTAGCAATCAGAAGTAACCACCCATAGAGTAACCAGAAAGAAGAATAAAAAGGGAATGTATTTTTTATTTCTCAAAATTTGGTTTTAGTCTCTAAATTTTTAATACATTTTTGTCCCAACATTTCTCATAAGTGGTGTGGATTTAGTTCATTTTTTGAGACTAAAAAACCTGGGTTTCTGATAAAATGTAGGATCTACTAAAAACTCCTTGTACAAAGACTTGAATCTCAAGATATTTTGAGGGATCAAAACATTTTACACAAAAAAAGGAAAAGCATAGCATACCGAAATAAGTCCCCATAAGCCCCAAAATAGATGGTTGGCAAGAGTGTATTTTTCTGCAAGATTAACTAGTTGCTCCACTTCCCTGTTGCTTGGTTTCCTACCTGTGCATAAGTTTCAAAATAAAGTTGGTAAACATGTATAAAATTCAGATGCTTCGTCTTTGAAATGACTTTAGTATTTGTAACATGATTTTCAAAGCTTTAATGAGAGTTAAAATTACATGCACATTGAAATTGAAGAGAAAAGGGGGGCTTGCATCGTGCTTACGAATAAGTTAAACAAATGCATGCAATGCATGCTCCACATCTGCAAGGACAGACTGATCAATAATATAAACTCTGTTACAATTCATACCGAGGAGAAACATCTTTTTCCCTGTTGTATTTCACGAGTTTATTTTTAATGTATCACAAGTCTAAGGAATTTTATAATGTTAACTGATTAAAAAAAAATTGATAAGTTATTCTAACAAAAGTTAATAATTTTCGATTTGAAGTAATATATAATTGGATTCCAGAGTAAAAAAACCTTTGTACTATAGGTAAATTTTAATTAAAATCAAGTATAGAAACTAAAATATATGCTTGAGTGATGTCACAGGTCAACCAAAATGTACAGGAAGTTAATTCTTTTAGCTGAGAATAGATCAATAGCAGTTACCTAAATCCAGATCTCTGCCAATAATATGTATTTTTGTGGTATGTTGGAGTAAAATTTTAGTGGACTAACCTTCAGAACTCAAATAGTTATAAACAAACCTTTGGCGCTCCTCAAGACCTGTTATACAATGTGTTGTCTCAGAAGAGTGATCTCAATAAAATAAGCATAAAGTTGGAAACCAAATGAACCATTGTAAAATATATCAGCAATCAACTTACCAGGGTATTTAGTGTAGTCAAGAACATGTGGTTTGTCACTGTGATAGTTTGCAACCATTTCACAGAAATGATTTGCCAGATCATATGCAATAGGATTGTAACTGGCATATTCGTAGTCCTGTATCAATAAAAAACAAAAACAATAGGAATGAATAAATCGGTATGAAAAAGATATGATAGATGAAATATGAAAAGATCCTATAATAGTAGTATCCTCATCCTAACATTGACATGGTATTCAGTTACAATTCTTATGTTCATTTTCTAACCAAGAGATACCTGGAACGTCTTACATGACACCCAAGTATCCCTCATCGGATTTGTACGATTTCATGCCCAAGTTAGAGAACAAATCTCAGACCTTGGTTAAGGAACTCAAGTGTCATAACACTTGTACCAATAAATAACCTTTGATGAACTCCTTTTGAAGAAGATAAAACTAAACTGTGAAAGTTCAATAATATAGATAAAACTATCCATCACAAATATGAATATAAATTAAGAAAATAAAAAGTGAAAGTAGCTGATATCTTATCTTGCATTGCCATACAAATATAAGAAAGAACATCAACAAAGCCTGAAAATAGAATAAATAACTAAAATATAGCAATATAACTTACAATGAAAGTGATTGCTCTTGTATCTCCATCCATCATTATGTTACCATATTGTAAATCATTGTGACAAAAACCAATCTCTTGATATCCTTGCGATAGCAACTCCACAAGCATATTTATTTCAGCATCGAGATGATTCAGGCCAAAATTCTTGGTATCTTTTGGGGAGCACAAACTTTTGGCATGACTAAGCCACTTCCTGGTTGAACATAGAGGGCATATATAACTGTGTAGAACAACATAAATGTATTTGAAGATTAGCCTGACATATATTATTTTATTACCTCAATCTCTGCCAAAGCTGAGCCTTCTTTGTACCAGGCATGTGAAGATTGTGAAACTCCCTCATCTTAGATGCTACCAAAATAGATATTTCAGGGTCACGGAGGTCCGCAGCTGAGAGTGTCTAGAAATCCATAAATAAGAAAAGAAAAAGTACGTTAGACACAATTATCATAGTCTGTTAAATTGATTAAGCATCAGGAAAACAAAGAGAAGTATATTACATGTATTTAGATTATATCCTCAATTTAGTCTCTGAAATTATAAATAATGTTCATTTTAACTTTGAACTTCACAAAACTATTATTTCTCCATTGAAAAAGTATCTTATATAGAAGTTAAAAGTAAAAATTAGAGAAATTATATAAAAGAATTTCAACAAATTAGCTGATGCATAAAATAATTTTAACGTGAAAGTTAATAATCTCAAAAAGAGTTTACTCTACAATCAATTAATTAGAAGAAGAGAACATATAATGGTAAATGAACTCTTCAAATAAAGGCAACCACTTGATTGCATAAATTGCGCATATCTTTACTAATGGTCATCATCTATTGACTCAAAAGAAGATAGGATAAGAACAAAATAAGTCCCTTTCAAAATAAGATTTTCATTTATATTTCTTTTAGTTTTAGTTTTAGTATAATTTTTATTAGTTCTTTATTGATAAAGTAAGAAACATCATTTAGGGTGGAATTTGGAGCAAAATCAATGTGAAAGCAAGCATCGTGCAGCACTCGTTGACTCAGTATAATTCAATTTAATATGCTGAAGAAGATGCTTCTTATTTAATCTAAAGAACTAAGAGGAAATTGTAACACCCTCCATTCGTCCAAAGGAAAACAGAATAAAATACAAAAGCTAACAGCCAAGGCCGAAGAAAAACTTTTTAAATAGAATAATAAAGAACATTGGAAAAGGAGAAGTGACTTGAATTTAAATATATATTCTCCCAAGTCCCAGAAAGCATCAATTGAAATGCAATCATTGGGTCTACTTTTATATTGTAATATTACTTTGCCAAGATAGTTATCTGCAAAACACCTAAAAATATAAGGTTAATCTTCAGAGAGCAAATTTATACTTTCAACATATAAGAAATCATTAATATAACTTCTGAAAATTTAGATTTGTAAGTAGTTGTAATATTACAGTGCAAGTATATATACCATTTACTAAACAATAATAAAGATTGTATAAAAATGACATGCTTATAATGTTAGGAATTAAAATAGAGATTTTCCCTAAAACTATCTAATCAGAAGAGGGAAAGATAATCACATACATTGGCATGAATAAACTCTTCAACTCTGCCAGTGGTGAACCTTCCAAGAAGGCGTGGACCTTGTCCATGCTTTGACATGGACTCAAAGGTTCGGATTTCATCAACCCTGTTGAAGAAAACCTCAATTCCTTCACCATATAATCGAACCAGAACCTTTCTCTGATGACCATCACTTTTAGTTGGCCAATTTACCTCAAAAACCTCATTGGTCATTGCCCCATTTAGAGGTTTTACCTGTAAAGAGTTCAGGTCATCTATTACATCCCCTAAATCTGCAGCCACTGCTGCAAGAACTTCAATTATCTCTTCATGGTTTGCACCTCTTTTCAACAACTCAATTGCCTTTATGGCCATCCTTGATCAAAGATCAGTAAAAAACAGAGCTCTGTTTGTGAAGAAAAACAGGGGGAATTGAAACAGAGAGTTAAGTTCTTCCATCCATTGCAATAGAACAAACACATGGAGAGGCTAGAATACCTTGATAACCCAATTGGGAGAAAACATTATAACTGATGATCCTGTGTGAAAGTTAACTGTATTTGCTACAAAATATATTGATTTGAGGATTTAAAATTCCACCAAAGTTCCTCCATACCATGAAAATAAACAAAAACATTGAGAAGCAAAATCCTACATTACCCAACTGGGACAAAACATTATAAATTTATCCATTGAAAGATAACTCTTTTTGGTAAAGGATTATAAGATTTGGGGATTTGAACATCACATAATTTTTTCCATCCCATGTAATATAAAAGTACGAGTAGAAGGCAAGAGGCCTTAGTGACCCAATTCAAAGAAAACATCATATAAGGATAATTATTTCTCCAAAACACCACTCAATTGGGGATTTATAAATTCACCCAAGTTTTTCCATTTCATGCAATATACGCAAACACATGGAGAAAGCAAATCCTTGCTGACTCAGTCGAAAACATAAAAAATGATGATCTAGTGTGAAAGTTCACTTTTTCTGTAAAAATATTTATTGAATTAGGGATTTAAAAATCCACCTAAGAAACAGAGAAAGATGTCTGGTAGACATACGAAAAACAAGTCTAAAAAGATTTTAGAACTTTCCGCCGACAAAATAAAAATAGAACTAAACGCAAAATTTGTTTGGCATGCACAGTGGAATTCGGATTACAGGATCTTACCAGGTAAACAGAGAGAAATTCGGAGCTTCCAAACAGGGCAAACTTCGGCAGGGAAAGTCCGATGCAGTGCTCAGAGCTGACATATGCATACAAAGAGAGAATCCGATAAACTCAAGAAATGAAAACTCATTCAGAACCATGAGAAGGAAGACCTCAAAGTATTGAAACAAAAACTCACCTTTGATGCAGATAAGGTTGCAGAAGAAAATCAAGCCGAATATAGAGAAACCTAAGCAGAAAATAATGCATAAAAAAGACAAAATCATCAGAACCCAATTGCAGGAAACCAAAATAAAAAATATCGAAAGCCCAAATAAAGAAGAAAAAGAAAATAAGAGAGAGTAAGATTTGAGATTTGGAACTGACCCTAGAATCAGAACTGCAGAAGAGGAAGACAGAGCTTGTCCAAGAATATGATTGTATAGCTACGCGATGATCATTATATAATGATGAACTAATAATATAAAATGGTGTGAGACCAAAAAAGAAAAATGCTACGAAACAAGAAACTAAAAGAACAATTTTATATAAGTAAAAAAAAAAAAAAAAAAAATTGACAGCATTCATATGGTTAATCCAATTAATACTTCATAACTTTTTATTTCTTTCCTTTTTTGACTCTGTATTTTGGTGGTTGATTCTTGTGATGGGGCAATTCATAGGAATGGTCAATCATACCTCGCCACGTGGAGAAATGGAGAACTGAATCTCCATAAAGATTCTAGAGGTCCAAAATGGCTCTGCCAAAACTTTTTTGGAAGACGTGGCATTTAAGATACAAACTCACTCTTTCTTTCTTTTTTTGTCATATTATTTCATCGGAAAATCTTTTGATGAAAACCCAAACTCCTCTCATATAACTGATTATGTTAATAAAATTGGTTATTTATTAGATATGGAAATTATCAATTAATTATTTATCTATTTCATCATGCACTAAATTCTCCCCCTCTCTCTTTATATATATTAAAATATAAAAAATGTTTTACTTTAAAAAATTATAATTACTTTTTAAAATAAAAGTTTACTTCAATAACTGTTTTAATAGGTTTAAATATGGTTTTAATTTCTTATTGGATTTTTTTAGTTCTTTAAAATTAAAATTTAGTTTTTTAGTTTTTGAATTTCAAAACATATTATTTTTATCTCCTGAATATATCCACGTTAAACTCGTTGTTCACGTGATTAATTGTATTCACTTTAATGATAATATGTGTTTAAAATAATGAAATAAAGTTTTATTTTAAAATGTTGGTTTAAAATATTTTTAATCCATAAAATTTAGAATATGGTTTTTTTAATTCCTCAAAAAGTTATTATTTTAATCCTTAAATATGAAATGGATATTTGAAATCCTCAAATTTAAAACTATTTTAATCTATTATTGAATTGTACACTTTTTTTTATTAATTGGATAATATTTTTATTATTATAAAAAACAATTTATTATTTATCCATAAAAAAATTATTATTTATCCACAGTGTAAATTATTTTTATATCTTATGCAATAATTTGTTATTAAAGTTAACTTTTAACATTATTTTTATATTTTATATTTTGTTTTTGATATTAACCTATTTTCTTGCATAATAACTAAAGTTAAATAAATAAAAAAAAGATAAAGTAACTGGATATAATGGTGGCAAAACGAACTAATTCATTTTATTTTAATTTATTTTACTTTTAGTTTATTAACAATGGGTGTGAATATACCTATATAGAATGAATTATAAACTTTAACTATTGACGAATTAATTGGTCAATATTTTTTTTATGCATTATTATATATATATATATATATATATAATTATATAAATATTTAATTTTTTATTTATTAATCAATATTTTTATTAGATAAATTGAAAAAATTATCATATATGTGTGTTAAAATAATTAATTATATTAATAATTTAATTTTGATTGATTAATATTTATAATTTAAATTATAATATTATAATATATTTACGTATTTTTAAAAATATGACACAAAAATATAATTATTAACCCGTCCTATAATTTTTTAGCAAGTTGGTGAGTGACATTGACATCGGTCTAATTGATTTTGTCATTCTTGATTTGACATTATATTTTATCTAATCATCCATATAACATACATAAATACATTTGTAAACATTTTCACATACATTGTTTTCACTATATTATATCTATCACAAATAGACATCTTTTCAAAGACTATCATTATGATTCAAACTCAAAGAGTAACATATGTATCATATTATAACACACCATAGTATCTTCATAGTAAAACTTTGACATTTCTAGACTACATATCTTATGTTGATTTGCCTCGTATCAAATAATAATTATCTTACTCTGTTATAAATATTAATCTCAAATTCGACTTTGTCTCACATGTATCCCTTACATGTTTATATATACTTCTTTAATTTCTTTATTTTCTTGCTTGAATGACAAGATTATTTTACTTAAGTATCTTTGTCTATGTTTGTTTGACATGTCTCTAGATCAAGTCATCTATTATGTTTGTTCTTCACTTAGTTTTACTCAAGTTGCTTAAGCAACTAACACTACTACAAAATATACGTTCAACGTCGCCATTTAACGTCGGTTAAAGCTGAGCCGACGTTAAATACACTTTCAACGTCGGTTGGTTAAAAAACGACGTTGAAAGTGGAATGTTGGACACATTCTACGCTCGGCTCTTAGTCAACCGACGTAGAAAGCACTTTCCACGTCGGTTCTAGATGAACCGACGTTGAAAGTCTTTTAATTTAGACATTCAACGCTCGGTTCCCGATGAACCGACGTTGAATGTGTTTTCACCCAAAAATTCTCTTAATTTCAAGAATTGTCACTGACAAGATTCGAACCCAGTATTTTAGAGTTGAAAGTTGATACTTCAACCACTAAACTACTGTAATTTTCTGATAATAACTTACAAATTAATTATATTTATATACAAATAAATATATATCCGTGTAAATATATATTTATTTATATATATTTTCTGGAAAGTGTTTTTATTTTTTTTTAGCCAAAAATTTACTTAAGTTCGAGAATTGTCACTAACAGGATTCGAACCCAGTATTTTAGAGTTAAAAGTTGATACTCCAACCACTAAACTACCGTAATTTTCTCGATAATAACTTACAAATTAATTATATTTATATATAAATAAATATATATCCGTGTAAATATATATATTTTCTGGAAAGTGTTTTTATTTTTTTCAACCAAAAATTTACTTAAGTTAGAGAATTGTCACTAACAGGATTTTTTGAACCCAGTATTTTAGAGTTGAAAATTGATACTTCAACCACTAAACTACTATAATTTTTTTATAATAATTTACAAATAAATTATATTTATATACATATAAATATATATTCGTGTAAATATATAAATATAGAATATATAAATACAAATATATTTATATATTTTGATATATTTATATAGTTATATAGTTATATATTTATATGTTGGATTTGAAGGCGCGTTCGAGGGTGAAAGTGAGATTGACTCTCGCTTGAGTGAAAATACGTTAAAACTCACGGAAATTCACTCGTTCAAGCCTCGCTTGAGCGAAAATTGGAATTTTTCGCTTGAGCGAAAATTGGTATTTTTCGCTTGAGCGAATGATGCGTTTCTCATATTTATTTTATATCATTAATAAATTATAAATATTATATTCTGTCATTAAATTACAAACCCATATAAAGAGACTCGCTCACAAATTTGACATCAAATTTTGAAAACTCACTCGACACACTTTCACCTTCGAGCGTGCCCTCACATCCAACATATAAATATATAATTATATAAATATATCAAAATATATAAATATATTTGTATTTATATATTTATATATTTACACTGATATATATTTATTTGTATATAAATATAATTTATTTGTAAGTTATTATCAAAAAATTCGAGTAGTTTAGTGGTTGGAGTATCAGCCTCTAACACTAAGGTACTGGGTTCGAATCCTGTCAATGACAAAAAATTAATTTGGTAATGCTCTAAACTTTAAAAAAAGATGATAAATAATACAAATATAATATAAAAGAGAGAGGGACCTAATAAAAATATAATATAAAAGAGAGGGGGATTTCTAGATAAATAGAGAGAGGGGAGAGGGGTTGGAAATAAATAAAAATTTTCGATTTGAAAGTCAGGACTTTCAACGTCGCCTGATACAACGTCGGTTCTGGAACCGCCGTTGAAGGCCTTCTTTGTAGTAGTGTAAAAAATAAAATCATCAATTCTCTTTTTTCTTTCTTCTAATAATCTTTTTTTTTTTTCAAGTAACACATTCTTTATTTAAGTGAACTACCACTAAATGACTCATTTCTTGAACAAACTATTATTGTTTAGGTCACTTCTTCTACCACTTGACTAAATGACTAAAGTGTCAAATGCACAACTTATGTGAGAAGAGTAAAAAAATAAAAATCAACTATTCAGACATTATCAATTCATGAACACAACATACCAATCTATACATCATATAATTATGCATCCAAAATTCAATATAATACCAAATAATCCTCTGTTAGCTTTCTATTTTGCACTTCACCAAATACACATATTTTTTTCTAGATATATATTATTATGTGAATTATTAACTCCCCTTACATAAATATTCCCAAAATTTAGCTTTTCTAATTATATATACCACCCAAATTCAATCCCTCCACTTAAATATTTGGATAACACTCCCAGACAACTTGAATAGTTTTACTACTTTTTGTAAAAAATTATACTAAATAATTATTTTATGAAAATGTTACCCTTTTTTTAAAATACAAACATATTCAATTATTTATGTTTTTTTTAAATAAATTTTTAAGAGTGTCTTATAATAATTATTACATGTATTTGTAAACCACATTAATAATCGACATATATAATTTACATAAATGAATTGGAAAACAACATTGATTGGAATTTAATGATAATCAATTTTTAAAATTTTAGATGTTGATGTAACTGAGAAAAATTAATTAGTAGTTAAATTTGACTATGATTAAATGACAATCAACATTTAAAAAAATATCCATTGGAGTTTATTTGTACGACTACATCTGTATAAGGATCAGAAACTGTAAATGTATTATTGAAATCAATATTATGTGAATGATTTGTTAAATTTCGATACAGTTTTTATAATTGTGAATTTGTTGTATTTTATATTGAATGCAATGTGAATTGATTAATCAGCACGAGTTATTATTGTCCAGTTGTTTTTATTTAAATGGCACTCATTAATTTAATTATTTTTCATTTGTAAGTGGATTGTTTTTATAATTTATTAAATAGTTTAAATTAATGAAAGATTATATATTTTATCTTTTATTACTTAATTAAGAAATTAGGAAACTTTTCCCTACAATTTATGTAAGTAAATTTGATTTTTGCGATTTAAGAAATTAATAGAGAGTTTATTTCAGCGGACCAATTTAAAGAAGATAAGAAACGTTGAAAAAAATTAGGATTTTAATTTGTAATTAAAGGATTCATTTTACATTTTTTGATGAACAGTATATCTCCTGTTTGAAAAAAACATGAAATAAATAAATAAATATAAAACATAATTGATTATACTCAATAATTAATCGCTGATGGGATCATTTTTTAAAATAAAACTTTTATTAAAAGAATTATTATTATAATAATAAATAATTAAAGAAATATTATTATAACAATAAATAATTAAAGAAATCATTTA